GATTCTATTCAACCGAGCCTCCGGGTATGCTAGCTACTTTTATCTGCTACAATGTTCAAATATATCATTTCGAAAGTCAAAGGTTGCGAATTAGTTTTCACCGTGCCGATCTTCTTCCCATGGAATTGATGTGTATATATGCGGTTTTTTTCCAGGTTTATTTGTTTTAGGATGATGTCAGGCACCTTAGTACAAAGGCTTGTCTGCAGAAGAAGGCTGTTGTTTTTCCGTATAGTAAGTTTCCTGAGTTGCTCATCGTTATCATGTAATATTTATGTAAAAAGTTCGAAATCTTATATATTTTCTGTATATGCCACATTTTTTTCTTTTTCATAGCTGTATGCAAGTATGTTCCTTTTTGGCAGTGGAAACTCCGCTATACAACCAATTGCGTAAGACGGGTTCGTGGAAAGATCCAACCGCCTCACTTGAGGACTTTCGATTCCCATGGCCTTTCCCCAAGAGGCCATCAACACGCTACAAGATAGCTTCTTACCTCACGTTGGGCTTCGTGTCTTCATTGGCTAAGCTGATGTTTTTAGGAGGTGATCGCATCTATCATTGTAGATGTCTTCTTATCCGTTTTTTCACTTAGGCGCTAATAAATTGCGGATACACAATCGGGAAGGATTTATGAATGCCTGGACTGACAGGACTCGTCCGCTCATTACGCTTTCAAATCACAGGTGTAACATTGATGATCCCTTGATGTGGGGTTAGTTTCGCTTCGGTATTTTCTTTTTTCGTTTCGGATCTTTTGATGTTTTGTTTATAGCCTTCATAACAGCTTCGGAATTGTGGAAAAACGTCGATCGACATCGATATACTTTGGCAGCTCACAATATCTGTTTTTCAAAAAAGTGGCACACAACGTGCGTTGTCTTTCATCTATTTCTTCTGACTATTGCTCCAAGCAAATAGAGATTATTGCGGCTAAGGGACGATACTAAGTCATCTGCTCAGCATTGAAAAGCATCTCGATATTCTACTTTTTTTTGTAGATTCTTTTCACTTGGTCGTTGTGTACCTTGCGTCCGTGGACGTGGCGTTTATCAAAAAGGAATGGATTTCTGTATAGAAAAGCTAAATGAGAATGGTTGGGTCCACATGTTTCCTGAAGGCCGCGTTACCCACGTTCCAATACGGTGAACACTAGTTAGCTCATATTGAAATGAACATTCTTTGTTTAGCATTAAATGGGGTATTGGACGACTAATCATGGATGCTGAAAAGCCCCCTTTGATACTTCCTATCTGGTGCACTAATATGTCGAACGTGTGGCCTGAACATCCGCCGTATTATCCGCGTTTTGGCCACGTGAGTATCTTGCTCAACAGATTCTTACAGAAAATTGATAAAATATCCGTCTTGTATAGTGCCATTGTTGTGCAATTTGTGTGGTGTGGAGGGAAGGAGGGAGCAGGAGAAGGGGAAAAGTGCGCATGAGTGCGCATACCCTAGGTTGCATGGATACTCTCGCTACTAGGAAACATATGACTTCTGATTGGCCATGGGGTAACCAATTCGCATTTTCGGCTATGATAAAGAAGGCGTTTGCGAT